CAGGGTCTCCTATGTAGTTGAGACTGACCTGGAACTCACCATGTAGCCCAGTCTGGTCTCGAACTCACAGCGATCCTCCTGCCTCAGCCTCCCGAGTGCTGGGATTACAGGCACGCGCCACCAGCAACATTATTCACAACAGTGAAAGCTAGGAGCAACCCTACAGGGTACTGGTGGATGAACAAATCACCCAGATGTGGTATAGACATACAGCAGAGTACTACACAGCCTATAAAAAGAAGGAAATGCTGACATGTGCTACAAATAGTTGAACTATGAAGACAATATTGTACATAAGTAAGTTAATTCAATTATCTTGTAGGCAGTTAAACGGGGCCGCCCTCAAGGCACCAGCCCTCACAGTGCCAGTCCTCAAGGAGCCAACACAGGGAAGAGCCAACATGGAGAATAATTAGGGCACATTCATTGGTCAGCATTATAAAAAAGAAGAGAGGTAGATGGCAGTATTTATTCATTACTATCTACTGCCCCTGTGATAGCTAACTGTCAAGTCAACTTGAATACAAATGCCTAGCAGATTTGGTTCAGCACAGTTCTGAGTGTCTGGCTGGTGGGAGACCCACCCTGGGTGTGGCTGGCACCAACCAATGGGTGAGTGAACCAGATGGAATAAAAAGGGAAAGAAGAAGGAGGTCCTGTTTTTGTTTCTGCACAGGAGCCCCAGTCTTTGCCATTTCATTTGGACATCTGTCTCCAGGCTTCCAGTGCAGACCCTTCAGCTTCCTGACATGGACTCACACGGGACTCCAAACCTTTGACTTTCAACTGGCTCCTTTGTATTTTTCCGCCCTGGTACCAGGAATTGAACACAGGACCTTTCACTTGCCTGGCAGGTGTGATGTCATTGAGCTAAACCCCTAGCCCTTGACTGGATCCCTTGGGTCTCCAGCATGCAGAAGGCCCTTTTGCATTCTTTCACCACTGACTCTGTGGGTGACCATTTTAAATCTACGTTGTAAATCCATATCTATAGTCTATATAGATCTATAGACCTATAGTCTTCCTCTAGCGAGCCCTAACTGATATAGCACCCCTTATCTGCTTATGTGAGCCTCATAAACTGTATGGTGGTGCATATGGGTCTGGGAAGTCCCAGTATATCCAAGAGAATATCCCCAAGTTACATGATTGAACAATCAGATGACAAACTAAACAACTCTTACATTAAAATTAAATAGAAGTCTTCATGATGCCAGCTCCTAAACGAGTTAGAGACCTGACTGAATTGGTAAGACTACAAACCTCAGGGACCCCAGGCAGTGAATTACAATGCTAGCTGAATGGCTGTGGGAGTAAATTCCAGAAAAACTGGACAGATAAAAAAACACTGAGGCCGGGGATTTAGCTCAGTGGTTCGGTGGCCTGCCTTGCAAGCATAAGGATCCGAGTTCAATCCCCAGTACCAAAAAAACAAAAACAAACAAACAAACAAACAAAAAACACTGAGGCAGGGAGTCCCGTTCCTTCATTTAGGAAATCCGGGTCCAGAGAAGTAGAAAGTAGCTGGCTCAGGCAAAACAGCCAGTATGAATGACACTGCTGGGACTGGACTCCACATCTCCTGACTCGTCCAACCTGGAGGCTGGGACTGGCTTTTTAGAGAGTGGTGTCTCTAGCTACAGGGAGCTCCCTCCATGGCACCAGCACCAGTAGTGCTGGAGGCCCCCCCTGGATTGCGCCCACATCTGATTCAGCCTGGAGCTCCACCCCAGTGACAGCCAGGCCAGGCCCAGCTTTTGTACTCTGCGCTGACGCCTTCATAATTCATGTCGTTAGTTAACGACAGCAGCCGTCTCCAGAAGGAAAAACTGCCCAGATGAGGAGGACTGAATCCTGGCCAAGAGTTTCTCGTCAGAATTCTGCTTTCAACTCCCGCCCCCGCCCCCCAGTTTAACTGGATGACATCAAATTTCTTTGATACATTTCTCATTACCTTTGAAAATAGCCCACATCCATCAGCCTCCTGTGAAATATAAAAGGCTGTACCTTCAGCTCAATATTTGAAATAGTCAAAATTACTTAGGAGACTTCAGGTTCCTAATAATGAACTTCAGATTGGAAGCCTAACTTCTTTGTTTCCCCTGCCTCTTAACTCTCCAGGGAGACCTCAAGCACTGACTTCCGGTCCAGCTGTCTTCCGTGAGGACCAAGTGCAATCATCTGTCAGAGGCGCGGCTCAGAGAGGTGACCTCAGGGGTCCAGGGCTGGGCCCTCAACAAAGACAATGGAAAATGTAATGAGGAGGCGGAACTGTGGGAAATGAGAACACCGGCTTTTAGGAGGAAATTCGATTTTTCCTGGATGAAAAAGTGGGGCACCTGGCTAAGGAGGAAAAAGAACTATCAGCACAGAGTCTACACGAATGAGCTTTCGAGACTCTGGCCACGACCTGCACACAGGCCTATCTGTGTATCTGTGGGCCAATCTGTGTATCTGTGGGCCAGTCTGTGGTCCAACTCCTTCTCAGCCTCCCTCCTTGGCTCCTCTTCTCCAAGAGCCTCTCCAGGCAGGGTGTGCAGGGCATGGTGGAGGTGAAAGGACTCTGACGACTGGGAAGAGAGTCAAAGCCTCAAGAAAAGTCCCCGCCGATGGCTGCTACCTAGCCTATCCAGGTCCCCTCCAGTCATACACAGGAAGCGTACGACCATAATAAATGTATGTGATGAACCAGAAAATTATCCCCCACACACTAGAAAAAGGTGTAAAGAGCACAGAGGGGCCTGGCCAGGCCAGAAGAGCTGGCCCTCCAACATACTTGAGGCCTGTGTGGTTGCATGGAAAATACTCTTAATTGTTTTCACATTTCAAATGCTCTCAAATAAAGTTCCCATTAGGGCTTGCATGTTTCCAGGGTCCGCATCCAGGGAGGGGAGTGAGGATTATCTTTTATAAGAGAAGCTCCGTTTCACAATATGGGCTCTGCAACCATCTGCCACCATCAAGGTTTAGTCCTCGGCAGGATGAGTTCGTGAGTTACTGCGTGCTGCGAGCAGAGCGTGCCTCATCTGGATTCAGTTGCACACATGGCCCAGGAGAGGTAGACAGTGCAGCCTTTGCATCTCCAAGAAGAAGTCTAGGAAGTGGCATGTTGGGAAATATAACCCCAAATGGAAGCTCGAGAGAGATCTGCAAGTGATGTGGTCAGAAGACCGCAACAAGTCAGCATGCATCAGTGTGGCCTGATGGTGAGAAAGGTTTCTGAAGAAAATTTTCAGCTTGCACGCTTTGAAAAGCTCTCTCTCTCTGTCTTTCTTTGACACAGGGTCTTGCTATGTAGTTCAAGCTGGCCTCAAACTCACTATGTAGCCCAGGCCTTGAACTCATGGTGATCCTCCTGCCTCAGCCTCCTGAGTGCTGAGATTATAGGTGTGCGCCACCATGCCCAACTTGAAAAGCTCATCTTTCTAACAAGACTGAGGAATTTTTCTTGGTACCAGGGGTCAAACTCGGGACCTTGTACTTGCGAGGTAGGCAGTGGCACCACTGAGCTAAATTCCCGGCCAAGATTGAGGAATTAAAATGATAGTTGCAATTTCTCCAGGATAATACATCTCAAGAGATTCTTTAATTCATTCTTTCATTCGTCTATTCCACAAACACACACTGCACCCATGTGCACCAAGCACACAGCTATTGAGGATCTGGCCATGGGGAAACACAGCCACCTCTTGCCTGGCAGCCTTCTACTCTGGTCTCTCAGAAGTCTGGTTTAAAGACATCGCACTTAGCGTCCGTGCTGTAGGCTGCTCACGTCCCTTGAAGGCCAGTGACAGGCACTCAGCCCATCCTCACCATCCTCTGACGCCCTGTATCCCTTCAGTGCTGCCACGATGCTTCTGGGTCTTATTTTTCTTCTACCTTCCCATCAAAGAGGATAGAGCTGCAGCTGCCCCTCTTAGCAGCCACCAAGTGCCTTATCTTGTAGGGTTGGAAGAACACAGCTCTTCTTTTTTTTTGTTTGTTTTTTTGAGACAGGGTCTCACTATGTAGTTGAGACTGACCTGGAACTCGCTATGTAGCCCAGGCTGGTCTCGAACTCACAGCGATCCTCCTGCCTCAGCCTCCCAAGTACTGGGATTACAGACGTGTGCCACCACGCCCGGCTAGAACACAGTTCTTCTGATGTCTCCTTTCTGGGTTCAGCCTTTTGTTTCTCAACAAGGTAAGGAGGAGCAAGACTGAATCCTCATTTCAAATAAGCAGAACTTCAGCTAAGTCCCGAGTTTGCTAACCAAATTCAATGGTCTGACCTAATCTTCCCAATCTCTACAAAACATCCCGATAGGATGTAATGAACCAAAAGTATAAAGGACAGAATAGTTAGTGAATATAAATGCTGAATACAGGTGCAAGCTGCTTAAGATTGGCAAGGAAAAGAAAGCTAGAGCAGCACATGGTGAATGATGCTGGCCCGGTGTGACTTACTTCTGCAGGTCTTCTTGTCTGGATTCAGGGTAAAGCCTTTCAGGCAGCGGCAAGAGTAGGAATTGCCAGTGTTGACACATTCGTGCTGGCAACCGTGATTGGGTGAGGCGCAGAAGTCTATCTCTGCAGAGAGAGAAAAAGGTCCAACAAAGCCATGCCACTGGCACATAAAAACAAGGGATTTCCACCTGCATTTTTCCTAAATGGGTGAAGCCCATGCCTCAAAGACTTACGCCAGGAAGCAATCTCAATAGAGCTACTCCCAGGTCTAGAGACATAAATGCCCGGAGGAGAATCTTCTGCACACATGACACAATATCTAAGTAACTAATTTGTGAATGTGCTTTTTCTTATCTTGGTTCATAGAAGAGCCACTCAAATTAAAATTGCCGGATTATGGGCTGGGGAGAGAGTTTAGCTGAGTGTTTTATGAAATGCTGCAATTAAAACAAAGTAACTTTCTCCAAATCAAACTACACCACTCAAGCTCCTCCCACACTGAGCCAAACAGGATGCAAAAGCATCCTGGGAAATAAAAGGCCTCAGAGAGAAAGACACAAGTATTTCAAGTTGAAAATTTCTTCTTTATTGCATAAATAGGACCTTTCATCTCAAGATTCAGTCAGGAAATACATATTCCAATGTCTGGGAATATTCTAATGTAAACCAAAATATTCAGGAAGGAAAGTCTGCATGGAGTTTGTTATACAGGAATGTTACTTGCATAAGCGTTTTTTAAATATGGAAAGGGACCGCTCTGCTGAAAGGTCTGAACAACGGCTTTTGCTGAAGGGGAACCTAAACGCATTGTTTAAAATCACTGGGAATAAGTAGTCACTGAGGGAATCTTAAAAGACATCTTTGTTTTGATGAGGACTTTTATGGTTTTAAGGAACATCTGAATTATGTATATAATTTCCATCATGAAGAATCTGGCATAACTGACTTGTCCCAATCTATATCAAAGGAAACAAGCCAACTAGGAGAAGCACACACTGTTCTCCAAAGAAAAACAATGAAAAAAATGCCAAATGTTCCCAATGTAAAGTCCTGGGAGATTTACACCTCTAGAAACACGGAGGGTGACATGGGGAATCCACGCACTCAGCACTCGGCTTCAGAATCTGCGGTGCCCCTCTCCCTCTTCACCCTAACCCCATAAAAAGCCCATATCACTTTGGGGCGATCTCAGACGTGATATCATTTTTTCATAAATATTTCATAATGTATCTTTAAAAGATAGAGACTCTTCAGAAAATACAACTGTAATACCACTGTCACATGTAAACTTTTTTGCTGGGAGCACTGAGCTGTGGATCACTATGGCCAGGCCCAACTCACCTCCCGCAGATGGGCCTGGAACGAGGAACACGCATAGGGACAAGCATCTTGTTCACTTCCTCCCTCAGATAAGGCAGGGCCCGAGGGGAGAACAGGCAACAAGAAGGCGTGGTGGAGCGAGGCACGGCTGAGAAGAGGACTGTGTGCCCTCCGGCCTTCGCCAGAGAAACATCAAGCGTGAGACCGACCGAGTGGACCCTAGCTACTCTCCCGGCTCCGCCCACAGACCAGCCCCTTTGACCGCCCCCTGCACGGCCCTAGTCTAAGGTGAGGCCATTTGTCTGGTGGTTTTTTCCACCCATCAGGAGTTAGAGCCCCACCTGGCCCCGCCTATGCCTTGTTATATCACTTTGTCTTTCTTAATCTCTCACCATCATTTCTCACTTCGTGATCCCTTCAGGCACGTGGGCTGTGGCACTTTTTATTTGGAAACTCTTTGAAAATTACACATAGTTGCAAACATAAAAACTACAAGAGGCCAGGTGTGATAGAGCATGTTTATGATCCCAGCGATCTGGGAGGCCGAGGCAGGAGGATTACAAATTCAAACCCAGCCTGGGTAACTTGATGAGACTCTATTTCAAAATTTAAAAAGCTGTGGGGATACATCTCAGTATAAAGGCCCAGGGTTCAATCCCTAGTACCGCATACGTAAACCCACGTGCACGAAGTGTAAGAGCCACTGATAACACTGTTTATGCCGATTCATCTATTGTTAATATTTTACTCCATTTGATTGACCATTGGGTCAATTTTCTGAGCTAACTGTCAGAGGATAGGATATACACATCCTGGTTCTTTTCCCTTAAATGTAGTCTGGCTCCCTAAGAAGAGGGATATTCTCCTAAATAGGTAAACCACAAAGTAGCTATAAACTCCCCAAATTTACATTGATACAGTATTCAATCTATCATCACCAGGCGTGGTGGCTCATGCCTGTAATCCCAGCACTCAGGAGGCTGAGGCAGGAGGATTGCTGTGAGTTCGAGACCAGCCTGGGCTACATAGTGAGTTCCAGGTCAGTCTCAACTACATAGTGAGACCCTGTCTCAAAAAAAAAAAAAAAAAATCTACCATCCATATTCTAATCCTGCCAGCTGATAATGTTCTTTATAGTATTTTTCATCTACCAGTACAGAATCCAGCCTAAGGTCACAGATACTAGTTAGTTTTTACATTTCCTTATGCTGCCTTTAATCTAGAGCTTACATCCTGTCTGATGTGGCCATTTAAACTTAAATTGGTTAAAATTAAATTAACAATTCAGTTCCTTAATTGCACAGGTCATATCTGAAGGACTGAAGATAGGTGCACAAGGCTCCTGACTTTTTTTTTTTTTTTGGAGGGAAGGTCTTACTTCATAGTGAGCTGGCCTTGAACTCACTATGTAGCCCAGGCTGCCCTTGAATTCACAGCAATCCTCCTGTCTCAGCCTCCTGAGTGACAGGAATACAGGTGTGCATCACCCCACCTGGTTAATGCTCACGACTGTTTTATCTACTCGTTTTTAGGTTTCTTTTAAAATATATATATCTAAGGGCTAAAGGTGTAGGGAAAGTGGGGAGGGTAGGGGAAAGGGAACAAGGGAAAAGAAAAATACGAGAAAATGAAAAAATGGAAATAAAGTGTTTGTAAATGGGGAGGGGAGAGGGGGTGAACGGAGGGCAGGGACAAGGGGAAAAAATGAGAACCAAGAGCTGTCATGTGAAGGTACAGGATCCCAGTAATGAATGTAACTGTACTGTATACCTAGATTGTACCAATAAACTCAAGAAAAAGAAAAAATATATCTAAGTGTAAAAAAACAAACTACACATATTTAAGATGAATAATTTTATGAGCTTTGACTTAAGTATACTCCCAAGAAACCATAACCACAGTCAAAGTGACAACTATTATTTGTTGAAGATGGTAGCCTTGCCCTGTTGCATCATTTTTGCATCTTACTTGAAACATCTTTACCACATATGTGTGGGTCTCTTTCTGGATCCTATTCTGTTCATGTTTGTACCAATACATCACTATCCTTCACTGTTGTTTGTAATTAGTCTGAAAAGTAGGAAGTTTAGACAACCCACAGAGTGGAAAAAAAATAACCAGCTATACAGATAAAGGACTATTATTTAGAATATATAAAAAGCTTTTAAAAATCAGACCCCCCCCAAATTTAAAGACCCAATCCAAAACTGGGCATCTGAAATGAAAAGACACTTCTCAAGATGAAGAATTAGAAATGGCAAATAAACACATGAAACAATGTTCAACATCACTGGTCATTCAAGAGATGTAAATGAAAACAACACTGAGATTCCACCTCACCCCAGAAAGAGTGGAAGCTATCAAGGAATCAACCAATAGCAAATGCTGGTGGGCTGTGGGGAAAGAGGAAGCCTGCTCCACTGCTGGTGGGAGTGCAGACTGGTGCAGCCACTGTGGAAATCAGTGTGGAGAAACCTCAGAGAACTAAAACTAGAGATTCCATTTGACCCAGGTATAGCTCTTCTAGGTATCTTTCTGAAATAATTAAAGGAATCACACCACGGTGATATATGTGCACCCATGTTCATAGCAGCACAGTTTGTAACAGCTAAAACTTGGAAACAGCCCAAATGCCCATCAAAGATGAGTGAATAAAGAAGATGTGGGTTTTTTATACAATGGAGTACTACTCTGTCATAAATAAGGATGAGCTTCAGCTCAATGGATGGATGTTGAGACCATACTCTCAAGTGAAATAAATTAGAACACATGTTTAAATACCACACTGGTTCTCTGGTGTGAGCAAAGGAACATGGAAATAAGGACTGAAATGTATAATGGATGTTGGGAAATGGGAAGAAAGTGTTCAGATGGGAAGAGGAACAAGGGAGGAGAGAGGGAGAAAGGAAGGGAGAGACAAGAAAGGGAGTGAAAATAGAAGGAAAAAGGGAAACAAAGCTTCGTTACGGAAGGAGAGGAGGGGCTTGAGGGGGGATGGGATAAAATAAGATTTATTAAAAATAAAATAAGTAAAAAATTAGGAAGTTTAAATTCTCCACATCTGTTCCTCTTTTTTAGTTTATTTTACTATTCTCTTCCTTTGTATATCCATGTAAATTTTAGAACCTGTTTTTCAAGTTCTAAAAAAAAGGGCTACTAAGATCATTACAGAGATTGCTTTGAATCTATAGGTTAATTTGTAAAGGACTGACATTGAAAAATATTACTTTCTCTTTTTCTTTCAAATTTTATTGTTGTAGTTGTCATTTGGGTTTTTTTAGTACTGGGGATTGAACTCAGGTCCTTGCGCTTGCAAGGCAGGCACAGTGCCACTGAGCTAAATCCTGGCCCATGCAACATAGTTATTTTATATTATCTGTATTCAACAACCTTGTTAAATTCACGTAATAGTTTCAGTAGCTTTTTTATTTTATTTTTGACAATGTTATTTGATGATACAGCTGGGTTTAAATTGTTCTTTCTATTCTATGGACTATTTTTTTTTTCTTCTTTCTTGCACTGGCTAGAACCTCTAGCACAATGTTAAATAGAAATGGTGAGAACAGACATCTCTTTTGCTCCAAATCTCATAAAGAATCTACTCGCTCATCATTAAGAATAAAGTCAGGGGTCAGAGATTTAGCTCATGGTGGCACCATGACTGACTCAATTGTAAGGTCCTGAGTTCAATTCCCGGTTAAAAAAAAAAAGAATGAAGTCAGTTGATGTTTTTATTGATGTATTTTATCAGATTGAGGCAGTTTCCTTAATTTCTAGTTTGTGGAAGTGTTCACTTTTTTTTT